GGCACATAGTGCCTCACACTCACAGTGTGAAGACGATTCTTAAAAGCTTCATGCAAAAGTCGCTGTGCTACAGTGACTTACGTCAACTGGTGATGTCCTATCACCTGAAAGATAGAGCAACGTATTTATGAAGTTTGAAAAGATAAGATTCCAGTTATTACCAGAGGGTGTAGCATGCCAGTAACATCCCTTAAATATGTGAAAGCTGACAAGGTGAGGCTATTGATAAGTGATCAATCTCGATTTTTTTTTTCTCTTTTCTTTTTTCTTTTTCTTTTCTTTTTTAAACATTGCATTAACAACAGTTTCTTGAAAGCAGATGGTATCTCTCCATATTGTTATTTGTTGATATCTCAGAAAAGGAGTATTATTATTATTATTACCTGCAAAAGTTCAGTCCTTTTAATGTTTGGAGAGACATTATCACAGGCAGAGCAACATTCATCCCATCTAATTTGAGATGTACAGCATAGACATCTGCAAATGAAGAGGAGTATGTTTTTCTGACCACAAAACACCTGAGTTTATGCTTTAGTCTAGCTCATTGTGAGATGACTCTGCATAGCACTTCTTGGTGAAATTTAGTGTCTAGAAATAGAGTCTGGGAATGAGTAACTCAGATGCAAACATCTGCATCTTTGATGATTGTTACTTGAATGTTGTTCACAGTTTTGAAAAGAAATACTAGAAATCCCTTAATATTGTAATTAGTGGACTTTGTCCTTAATGCCCTGTCCATCTTTTCTATCCTGCAGCTATTACAAGAATGTATTTATTGTAGCAACCTGTTGGGAAGGAGATATGCTTTAAGATGTATAGAATCATAGGATGGTTTGGGTTGGAAGGGACCTTAAAAATCACCTAGTTCCAGCTGTCCTGCCGGAGAAAGGCAACCTTCCTCAGCCAAATTATGCAAAGCTCCACCCAACTTGGACTTAAACCTGTCCGGGGATGGAGAGTCCACTTCTCTGGGTAACCTGTTTCAGTGCCTCACCACACTTAAAATGAGGTATTTTTTTCCCCTAATACCTAATCTAAACACATCCTCCTTCACCCTGAGGCCATTCCCCCTCAGGTTCTATCACCACAGGCCCTTGTGAAAAGTCCCTCTTCAGCATTCTTGTAAGCCCCTTCAGGTACTGGAAGGTATCTCTAAGGTCATCCTGAAGCCTTCTCTTCTCCAAGCTGAACTGGGTCATTGATCAGTGGCAGAATGTCTGCATTAAATACAACAGACTTAGGTACACAGTGGTCTCTGGGACTCCTGTACTCTGTTGGCCTCTTGAATGTACACAACATATTTAAGTATTATGTACAAGAGCTAAAGTCACAGTGATTGATGCAGTTCTATGCTGATAAGACTGTCTGGAAATAAAGCAATTTTAGTACAAATGAGTAATATTTCCTTTCAATTTTCTTGAATAGAAAGTATGCAATTGGCTTGCAGCTAAGAAGGTAGGGATTGTTTCAGGAAATAATGTGATTTCTAATCCCCTACTTTCAAGCACATTTTAGAAGAGAAATCCCCACAAAGTAGCTATGTTATCTAAGCCAGCAAACGCCACAAATTGTAGTGAGCTGGTTTTCCATATGGGACAGTTTTCTACTTCACAAAGCTATAATGTCGTGCAAAGTTCATTTTACTGGTAAGCATCATTGAGCCAAAATTGAGTTCAGAGCCCCAGGGTAAATAAATGTAAGCATTTATCCAGAGTGCTATTTAAATTGGCATGAAGTTTTGGGACCTTGGTTGCCTAGTTCACTCATTTCTAGTGCTCTGAAGGCTTCATTAGGGCCCCTAAAATTGAGAAACTAGCTTTCTTTTATGGGGAAAAAATAGTTCTCTGCAAAACTGATGACTCTAAAAGATATGTAGCCAGTACAGTCAACATGACCTCTATAATATGATGGCTGTGAAACAGGGTTGTCGTTTAAAGCTTATCCACATATTATCAAGGCAATAAGACATTGATAAAATTAAAAATTTCTTTTAAAGTTTTTAAAATCCTGTTCCATGTAATTTTCCAACAGGATGAACTATGCTTTCTTTTGCTTGCCAATCAAAATTGCTGGCTAAACATTTTTACTCCAGAAAATGGAAGTATATAATGATGCATGCATGAGCTGAAGGCCTGTTGCTTTCATGAGTGAGACTGCATGTGTGTTGGTTTAAACACTGGTGGATCTTTACAAGATTTTAAGAATTTTTTTTTCCTGTTTCTTTAAAAGTGCTACTTGGAGTGGTAAATTGTATTTTAAAAGTATGTCAGCATATTATACTCACATATCTCCCACTTCTTCATCACTTGCTATCTTTATTTACGTGTTCCTTAAGAAATATTGAATAAGAATGACTTGGAATGTTTTAATCAGAAACTGTTTCTGTTTTTAAAAAATATTTTCTTCACATTTTCAATTTTTTCTTAAATGGATCTTTTTTAGCACTGCCATGTAATCACTGGCTTTACAGGTGTAAAGGTTTGTAATATGTCACTTTAGTCCTTTAGCAGTGCCATTATATATTCAGAAATCGCTGTGTATCTGTAAAGAAAATGGTGATGTACTGTAGTGTAATATATATTTCTAAAACTTCTGTTTGCCTAGTTGTTACCTAAACTCCAATTATAAATTATCCCCTTCCTCCAGATTTGAGAGTGATATGGACATATGCAAAAATGTATTACAGCTCTAATGATGTCACATGGTTTTTTGAGGAAAGCACATGGTAGCATACAAATCACTTATTTCCAAGGTGGAATTTCTCTTATTAGTTTATTGTGCCGTTATTGAGTGTGCATTTTGTAATTTTGTTTTCTGGAATGAGATTGTAATGCAAGACAAATTCTATATGCCAAAAATAAGACTTTAATGGATTAGACTGTTTTGACTGAAACATTAGAAGGATGTAATAACATGCTAATACATTTTATTAGGCTGCCAGCTTGTGTGTAAATGTTTCAAAAGGAATGAGACATGCATACACATAGAATACAATGTTTAATTTACTAGATTATGTTTGCATATGAAGTTGTACATCTTGGTTGAAAAATCTTTTTTTTTTATAGTAATCTTATGCCTATATTGTTAGCACTATAGGTCTAGAGATATATTGTTGTAATTTTAAATTCACACTGCTCTCTAGTGGGGAATACTTTCAATGCAATAGATTATATATATATATATATATATATTCATGTACAACATGTATATGAAATGGGATTACCAAACTGTTACTGGAATATAGACCAATTTGATAAAACTAGTTCTATTGTGATATATTATTGTTATACTGCTTTGATTAAAGACTGAATTTACTAATTAAAAAATATTTTAGACTGATGAATCTTTGGAGTGAACAGTATCTCCAGCAAACTCCAGAAGGGCTGAGAGGTTGATAGATTTATGCTTCTTCCTCAGGAGAAACCTCCTCCTTATGTTAGGAGAAAAATGCTATAGGTCTGCTATTTAAAAACATCAGGTTTTCTTCTAAGCTTCTACAGTCTCGCAATGTCTTTTGCTTTGGAACGAGTTATTTAGCCTGCTTTCTCATCTCTTGCTTTCAACAGCTATAATCCTAAATAAGAACTGACTGTGCACAGAAGCTGAAATAATACTGACAAATCTAGTTGAGTGAGGTTTAAATCTACAGCAAGTCCAGAGGTCCTCTCAGACTTGAGTCTGTACTTTCTTAAATGAAATGGGGTTTAGTTAGAATAGAACACAATGATAATTAGATATCAAGCAGAACTGAAAACTGAGATGGAAACTGATTTGAATATTGATAGGCTTTAGATTTGCTTATTTGGATAAATTTGTCTTTGTGATTTGATTTGAAAGCAATAATTGTCTTTAAATCCTTGGGAGAGCTGTCAAAAAAGTTAAGCTGATGAAATTTAAGTCATTTGAAGCTATCTCAAGAATGATTTGCAGCATTTTGTTGTAATCAGACCCAAATCTGGAGGCTTGTTTTAGACACTGAAACTCTTCTGGATCTCGCATTAAAGACCCATTTTCTTGTGTAGCTGCAATAATCTTTTTTTGTCTCTAGGTTGATTGATTTGTCAATTAGAGACCAAATAATATCATTGTATTTAAGGCTGCAGTAATTTTGTCACTCAAAGTATAGATTAGATTCTTTGTCTAGACCTTCATTTATTCACTAAGTCTGGGTGAACAAGCACTTTAAAGATTTATATGGTACATAAAGGTCTCATCAAAATGCTAAGTTGGTATAACATTTTGCATTCCTTGAATAGTGAATTAGGTTTGCAGTGCTCAGAGCGTTTCTTTACCTGTGCCATTTCTGCTCACTTTTAATCATGGAAGCTCACAGTTACATTTGTTTCACTTGAAGTTCTGCAGATGGGATTATCTGCTCATTTCTGTAGTTGTTGCTGTCTGGTATTAGCTGAATCTAAGCTAACTATCCTTCATTTATAATCCTGGGTGGTTAAGATAAGAAACTAATAACATATTTATTTGTCTTTGAACTACTTTACATGAGAAAGTTATGAAGTTATTAGATGTGGGCTTGAAAGCAATCACAGGAAGTGGGGAGAGGATGACTGGGGTTGTGAAATATTTAATAAACTCAAGGGTGAGGTCTGTGCATTTAAGCTTATGGAACTAATATACAAGCAGGCGGAGGTTCTGTTAATTATACCTTCTATCCCTTTTCTTCCATTCACTGAAGGGTTGTTTTGTCTCACATTTTTTTCTCAACTCCTGCAGTGTTTTTACCCTTTCTTAGATAAGTTATCACCACATACACATCTGGTGGTAGCTCAGCTTTGGGCTTCACTTGGCTGTGAAGTTAGTCAAGTTACATAGAAGAACTGAAAAAGTTGAACAGAAAGCAAAATATATGAATGGAAATATAATGTCAAAATATAAAATGCAAAAAAGTATCATCTGCCTTTTAGTGCTTTGCAGAGGTTGCTATCTTTTCTACATTATTTTGTGTTCTCAACAATTTTCTCTCATGTGTTTTTTCTTCTCAGAAAATATGAAGAAGCCCTGGAGCCCCGATTTACCAGTTGATAACCAGGCATACAATTCAGATTTCACATCTCTCCCAGACCGGGAAGGTGAGAAAGAATTAGCACCTGATGGCTCTGAAGAAAAGAAGGAGAGAGAAAAGAAACACACCAATTTCACTTTGTGTAATGTCTGTAACATTCAGCTAAACTCTGCTGCTCAGGCACAAATCCACTACAACGGCAAATCCCATCAGAAGAGGTTGAAACAGCTCAGCAATGGAAATCTCAAAAGTGATAATGGTAAGCATTATAATATATATATCTTTGCCATGTTTTGATCTGAGAATTGCAGCAATGTGCACTATGTTGATATATAGGAGTATAAACTTTGCTTTATTCCAACAACAAATACTTTGAAGTTAAAGCAAAGGCTTTTGGTGACTTCGGAGTGCTGGAGGTCATCCCTGCATCTGGCAAATAGCTTAACATATACCATCTGTGTTATTGCAAGAGTTTTCAGTTTATATTTTGTTTACATAATTATTTTGATTCAGATTCTTTCTCATTTCATTTGCATTTTGATGGTTTTCAGCATAATCAGTGGTATTCCATATTTCACAGTCTACTGGAAAGGTTATCCTTGTTAGGGGCGTGCTTGCCTTTAATGAATGTAAGGTTGTTGTGAAATAAATTGAAACCAGTACATTACACAGAAATACATTCCCAAACTCTTTTAACTTTAGCTTGCTTATTCTGGGTTCAACCCACAGCTAACATAAGTTGGTTTCAAGATCATGGCTGAATTGAAACAGAGATAGAACAAATCTTATTTTGACTGTGATTGATTTCATTGACAGCTTTGAGGAAAGCATTTCATAGTAGGTGACATACTCTTCAATCATCAGAGTGAGTTGTGATCCCCAAAGAAAAACACATGTTGCTTTTTGTACTAAGGCAGATTAGATAATAGAGGCAAATGATGGTCCCTGACAAGAAAAACCAAAGTACCATATTGCAATTTTTTCAGTTTAATAGCAGGTAGTACTCACATTTGCTGTGCCATATATAGGGTTGTACTGCATTGTTCTATTACTTCTGTGTACTATGTCAGAGAAACAAGTGCCTTAATATGTTGTACTTAGGACTTTCAGACTTTCTTTCTCCATATCACACGTTGCTTACAATTTTATGCCTTGAGTTACTTCCTGCCCCACCTGCAGAAGGATATGCAAAGCAACAATCCATAGATAGAACTTCATATTATTATTTTAATAACCTCTGCTTTGTTTCCACACTAAGAGTGGGGAATAACACTTTTTATTTTGCCTAAGTATGTTGGATGAGAGTGCTTTACTGTGTATGAGGTGTTGCTCATTTCTGTAAAACACAACAATAAAACAAATAACACCACTATAATATTCAACAATACAATTAAATTTGTCTTTAAGTGGCCAGTGGGACTGCAGCATTTGACAATGTTTGGAGTTCAAGCTTAGAAAAAAATGCTACTACCATTAGTAGGACCTGTGGAAATTCATAAAGAAAGATTGATTTCCCAATTGATTAAAGGTGCAATGTGATTATCCACAAATGCATTCTCTATTAAACCAAATAAACACAGTCTAATTTATTGCTATCTTTGGTTAAGGAGGAATTGTTATTGTTATTATTAGCACTACAATTTTGCTAATGATAGAAAGATTTTTTTCTGCAGTTCATTTTTCCACTTTAATCCATGATAATGAAAGAATTAGCAATTAAGCAATGCTGAAATTAGCTCAAAGAGCTTCAATCATGGTTCAACATTTATATTCTGGAGAGGCTCAAACTAGCAGTATAGCAGCATATTTCTTATTTCCTCCTTAAGAATATTCTATGTTGTGTGTAGCTGCATCAATTTGTAGTCAGAAAATAGCTGATTGACTATCTAGCTCTTGGTTTCAAAGTGCAATTATTTTGGGAGTTTATGTGAAAATTGAGGATTTTCAAATTTGGTAGGTCCTTGAATCAATATTCAAAAGTAGCGCTCCAATGGGAAAATAATGTAGGGTAGAGTATAACGAAGGGATTTTTCATGTCACCAAGTTCAGTTCTCTTCAACTGAGTGTTATAAATTAGAGAGACCAGTATAAAATATTTCTTGCTATAAATTAGAACTGAATTAGAACTGAATATTTGAGTAACCATCCTCCCTGTACTTTGAATAGAGGCACTGTTTGAGATGCCTTTTTGGAGACGAGTATAAATCAGAACATGAGTCCTTTTACCATTATAAGTTCTGTCATAACTAGTATTTCTGAAATATAGGCCGTATTTTTCTGACAAATGATTGTTTTGTTGATGAGACCCCAGCATGCCCAACTGACATATGACCATGACTATACAAATTATGACTCGAGCATTGCAATTTATCATGTACATGCAAATGGCGCTTTTTGAAGGTCATTGTTGCACAGGCATATTGTTTTCTCAATGTGTGTCAGAAGGATACTTTATTTAAGAGAATGGTGTTTCTTATGTGGAAATCCAATTGCCACAAAAGACAGCTGTTATGCTTGATGTCCACATTAGTGACATAATAATTCTAGAGACAAAATTCTGCTGTAAATTAAAAGTATGTAAATATTCTGCTTTATGCAATGTCTTCTAAGGTTTTGTCATTATGGTTACTCATTATGTCTCGACATATGAATAAAGTATCTGTACTATGCACAAGCAAACTTAATTTCTAACTACAGTGTCTCAAAAACCCTACTCTGTTTGCCTCTGTATATGCCTTTGCACTGCTGGATGCTCGCTTGGAACTAACATACATGGAAAGGCTGAGAAAAATATTGGAGTTGTGATTTCTCATTTTGTTTCATCTCCGAATTATTCCCATGAAGCAGGATAGGTTTGTGTGTTCTGTATCATGAGGATATAATAGAAAGGGAGGATTGATTCATGTGAAACAAAAGCCCATGTCTTGTTCCAAAATAATTTGCAATGGACTGCTGAACAGAGGTAGGGTTCAGCTGTATTAGCATTTGACTGTGTAATTAGAGTTGTCATGCTACAGTCACCAACTTCTAGCTTGTGAAGTAGCTTCTGTCTGTTGGACATGAATAACAGAACATTTTCTTTACTGGAATATCTCTGCCTAATTTCATCAGGAAAGTTGCTTGTGCACAAAGTCTGTTAATATCTGCAAATCTATAATCAGTAAATAAATGTGCATTGGGGGGTTAAAAGCAGTGTTTCTTTGCTGCTCTGTTGGTATCTGGACTGTATTTGAATAACCAGATATACTCTGAAAAGTTTTGCTAGTTGCTTACATGTCTGTTTGGCAGATTTACTGTACCCCTGTGGTTCCTTCTTGAGGCAGAGCAAGCTCAGAACAGCACACTGTGCAGCCACAAAAAGGGATGTGAACCCAATGTTTCTTGTGTCATTACTTGGTACAGTGGTTTGTGATGACTTCACAGGATATAGTGAGACATCAGCACTTCTGTAACTGAAATGTGCTTGGGAGCAGCACAATTTTCTGTGTACCTTCCTCCTAATAATTGCCTTTGATGTCTCTTAAAAAGACTTCTCACACTTTCCTCTTTACACCCTAGAAAATATTCTTACTGGTGATGTTTTTGCTTTTCTACTCTCATGCGTGCAGTGCAAAGGTGACAAGAAAGTCAGTGGAGATTTTGAGTATGTTTTGGAATTAAGAGGAGGGCAAGATGCAGTTCCTATCTGGTCTGCTGACATTGCACCACTTCTCATAAAACCTGCCTGGACACTGTGGGAAGAGGTGACCTCTTGTGGGAAATTGTTTATTCTAACCAGCAGGAGCAAAACTCACTGACAGAATAGAAAAATAACTGTGGATGCAAATGTATAGTAGCACCAGTAAGAAAGCTGATGTTTCTAAAATTTTATTTAAACCAGAATTTCCTCTGTGCATTCTTTTGTGTAAATTGCTGAATCATCATGAGTGAATGAGGCATGGTTAGGACAAAACCTAAAACTGCTTTCCTCTGCAATACTTTTTACAATACATTAGAGAACAAGTTAGAAAATAATGAAGGAGGTGAGCAAAGTCAAAATTAATAGAAATCCTTATGCTTTAAAAACTGATTTCTGAACCATTATTCTTTTGAAACATAGAAGGATGTGAAGCATTTGGTGGTGGTTTATTTATCTAGCTCTCTAAATTCATAACCCAGACCAAAGTCTATCCAATTTAGTATGTTTTATTTACTATCTTTTAAAATAAATGCAACTACAACTTTTTTTTTTTCACTAAAATTTCATTAAAACAAAATTTTATTGTAGAGCCAACAAGGAAATTGAGTACATGGAAAACAGGAGCAAAGTATCAGAATTTAGTATATTTTTTCCCCCTTGCTAATTTCAAAAAACAAATCCCTTAATTCAACACTTAATATTACTTCAGAATGAATAATGACTGTTATGGTAATGACTATTATGAAATGTGCACCAAAAAGGAATATTTATTTCCCACATTTTATTCTTTCTTCAACCTCATTCAGTAGTTGAATGTAGTTTCCTACAACAACATTTGAGATGGCAGTTTCCTTAAATCTACACAATACATTCTTTGCACACTGGTCAGAGAAAATGTTTAATCTTTTACAAGTTTTCTTTTGCATCTAAATCCTTACTTTTTACTAACCTGCAGGTAGGAAATCCAGGTGATTTATCTGCTTGCAGAGTTTCCATCCTTGCACTTTTGTGTTGCAGTTTATTTTCTGTCTCTATGCTGCCATTGCATTTTGCTCCTCTGCTGTCATGTTTTATGATCATGAAAACTGATAGCTTTGGGGTAGACACATTCTTACTTTTAGGTGGTAAACACCATCAGGTTAGGGCTTCCAGGGAAGTGGTGTCATCTTCTCTTTCATTGTTAGCCCTCCTTTCAGATGAATAGGATTGGATGGGACATTGGAGAAAAGAGGAAGTCTTCAGGCAAAGTATATTTTCCTTCAGAATAGGTGATTTTCCATTAATTTTCTGTCAAGTAATTGTCAGATCAGCTTGAGATGTCCCTGGAAGTCACATATCAACATTTTTTTTTTAATGTCCTATTATGTTTCAGAGCTTCATGGCCAGTTAACAGTGAATCAAATATGTATTTTCCTCTGGTTTTAAGCTTCTAGTTTGTGGGTCGTACATGCCAGTATCTTGTAAAGCATCACAGCAGGTTCCTTTTGGGTATTTGTAATATCTCCCAAATGTCAAAGCTTGAGATTTCTGGACAAGTAGGACTGGCTAAGGGCAGTGTGTTGTCACTTCCATTGCTTCCA